AAAATTCCAAGAGGATAGAATCCAGGTAGAACTCAATGTCCAGGACAGAGTAAGGATATAACAAAAAGGCTTAAACACTAATATTCCATGGTCATAATTTATTCCATTGGAATCGTAAATACGATCCAATTCATCAGACCTACAAATTCAAAGAGTTTTTTTCTGTTTTCTTTTTGAATTTGTAGGTCTGATGAATTGGATCGTATTTACGATTCCAATGGAATAAATTATGACCATGGAATATATATATATATTTATATATATATATATATATATATATATATATATATATATATATATAATTATATATATATATATATATATATATATATATATATATATATATATATAAATTTATATATATATATATATATATATATATATATATATATAAATTAATATATATATATATATTTATATATATATATATATATAAATTAATATATATATATATATTTATATATATATATATATATATATAAATTATATATATATATATATATTTATATATATATATATATATATATATATTAATATATATATATATATATATATATATATATATATATATATATATATATGCGCACACCTGTGAATTCAGTTTTATTCCTTTATCGATCAAATATTACAGAAATCTATGGGGCACTTTATATCTGTAAAAACTCTTGTACACGAACCAACGCGAAAGCGTGCCTTTTTTTTTGTTATAGCCATTAAAATCATTTCCTTGTTTCTTGAGTCGAAAAATTATAGCCTCTTACGTTAGGAAATTGTTTTTGATTTTGTTTCGTGATTTTCATTTGAGATAAGAAAATAATAATGCGTTTAAAAACTGAACGACAGAAATAAGCTTACCTCGGTCTTCTGGGAGGTAAATTCTCAGAAAATATTAACTCTTAATGGTTCGGTGTTGTATTATTTACAATTTATTTATTTTTTCAAGAATTTCAAATCCCTTCAGAGACAGCGATCTGAAAGTGTTTTAGTGCATGCAGTTCTAGCGAAATGTGTGACTGACAGTAAGGCGTTAGAAGATCTGGAAAAGGAACAAGCGAACGCGAATACTTTAAGAGAAAAAAAAAAAGAATATTTCTTAGCGGGAATGTTTTGTTAAAGAATAAATGACAAAAGGTATTTTAACCGCCCACACACTGGCAACATATATAGCGATTTAGTAAACGTAGCTAAGATGTGGTCCAAGGCCGCTATTGAGGAGCCCCAAGTGACGATTGAACTCACTACTCAGTCGTAACTGACTTAATGAGACAAGCTATTACACCATGTCGAGGTGCTTTAATATAACTAAACGTAGTTTAGATGTGACACAAGGTCACGATTGTGGAGCATCCAGCGAAGAGCAAATACATTTCTTCTTCTTCTATGTGTCATATCCCTTCAGAACATAGGCAAATATGATCCAACGCGACCTCTTTTCTCTTGTCGCAGTTGGCAACGTTTGTAGCTATGTCTACCCTCCACCTCCCGCCATTCATTCACCCAAGTTCGCCAGTATTATGTGGCCCGCTGCATTCTCGTGCCATTTTTCTAATCGATATGTCTTGTGAGTGTCAAATTCTCCAAGCGTTCCTTACTCAGTTTGCACGATAAATATCTGGTGTCTCTTTCTGAGTAAATGTATCCTTTGATTCATGACGATTATATTTCATCATTCTAGAAATAAAGGTCTAACATTTCATCATTCTAAAACAGCCTTTCCACCAGTGATGATAGATGATGATGATTATGATGATAATTTATCATTCTAGAAACCAAGATCTAAAAGTTCATCACTATAAAAACAACATTTCCGCCACAAGCAGTATGGCAGTAGCAGTAGTAAAAAGAACAACACAAATGTATCTTCTTCGCTCCGTGAAAATCCAGTGTTGACGGTTTCAAAAAGCTATCCTTAATCACGAAATTCTCGGACATTTATAAACAGGTAATCCTGAACTTCTAAAGAGATAAATAATCCTGAGAATATCTAATACACATTTGTAATGTCCGTTTGTAGGAGAGACTTTGTAAATCACAGATACAATAATATTAAGGCCTTCGAACAATACTCGATCAGACGCCGCTAATTCCCATATATATTTGAATAAAGAAAACAAGTGACCAAATGTTATATTTAATTACAGATTCAATCAACAATGTATTTTCCCTGATTATCTATGATATCCTTCCATCTATTAAAATCGCCATTAAAAGTTATTGGAACACAATTTCTGATTCAACCTAATATACAGATTCTAGCTACGATGATGGGCTGAAAAGTTCATAGGCTAACTATGGAGATGTGATGCTCGAGCTGTACATGCATTAATTTCAACACATCTTATTAATAACTACATTGTTACTTTCCTGTTCACAAAATATTGTTTACCCTATCAGATGCCAGTTTAGCTGGAAAGAAACAACGCCGTTATTAATAAATATCAGGTCATCCCATAAGTTATGTCCGAATTTTGAATAAAGAAAACAAGTGACCAAATGTTACATTTAATTACAGATTCAATCAACAATGTATTTTCCCTGATTATCTATGACTTCCTTTCATCTATTAACAAGCTTCCTAATTCCATTACTGTAAAATTCTTTTGGCTTTGATTCGAAGAACTCACAAATGTCAGTTTTAATCTCTTCCTGTGTTACAAAAGCTGTTTCTTCCAAATGATTCTGTAAGCTACGAAACAAATGGTAGTCTGAAGGAGCAAGATCGGGAGAATAAGGTGGATGAGGAATTTTCTCCCAACCAAGTTCTTCGATCTTTTGTGACGTAATTCTTGCTGTGTGGGGTCGCGCATTGTCCTGATGAAACATCACCTCTTTTCGATTCACTAGAGCAGTTTTTTTCCTCAAAGCTTGGTTCGAACGATCTAATTGCTGACAGTATATTTGAGAATTAATTGTTGCATTAGGTGGTAAGAATTCAAAGTGTATTATTCCTGGCGATCCCACCAGATTGAAAGCAGAAACTTTTGCACATGAAGTTCCCTTCTCGGCTGTGGCTGGGGTCCTTCCCCTTTACCAAGCCACTGTCTACGACGCTTAACATTTCGATAAAAGATCCATTTTTCGTCGCCAGTCACAAGTCTATCCAAAAAAGGTAAAACAAGTTGGCGAGAATGGAGAGAAGAGCAGATGTCAACTCGGGATTTGAGGTTGTTTTCAGACAATTCATGAGGCACCCATTTTCTAAGTTTAGGAACTTTTCTAAGTTGTTCAAGATGATGAACAGTTGTATGGTCTGAACTGAGAACCACTGCCAATTCCTCAAATGATAAAGCAGGATTTTCTTCAAGGGCTGCTTTGAGAAACTCAACTGGACGTCCGGTTCGATCTTCATCTTCAAGGGTGAAATCTCCACCTTTGAATTTTGCAAACCATCTTCTGCAAGTTCTTTCATCCACACATTCCTCTCCATAAATTAAGTGAATGTTTCTAGCCGCTTCGGCTGCTGAGTTTCCTTTCTTGAACTCATAAAGCATTATGTGCCTCAAATGATTCGTGGGTATTTCCATGTTAGCAGGGTTTTAATCAAACAAAATTTAATTTTATTGTTCTCTGAAATAAAATTCGATCAGTTTAAATGCACCTAAACATAAAAATAATGATCAGCTCCATTAGACATTATAAAATACTCTTTAAATTTCGTTCATTTTAACAAAAATAAAGTTAAAATTCGGACAGAACTTATGGGATGACCTGATATATATATATATATATATATATATATATATATATATATATATATATATATATATATATATATATATATATATATATTCCTTTACCCGTCACGTGATCTAATTATTTCAAGATGAGGTTGACTGCTTGCTCTCTGGCGATCTGTGTTCCAGCTCACGTGTCGGCAGCGACACTTTATTCCTCTATGACACACCCACAAAACCAATATTGTAATTAATATTACGAAGAAGAAAAATATACATTCTTGTAATTGATTTCAATATGTATCGCAAATTCATATTGTATATTATTGTTGTACGTTTTATTCATTTTATTTTCAGTATAAAAAAAGAGAAAACGAATTATCTTCTGTCAACTACTAATATATGTAATACGGGATAACTTAGTCAACAGAAATCAACAAATCGAATCCCGTTACATCTTTTTATTTTATTTCTATTAAGACTTCTTTGTCGCTTACGCGCTACGTCCATTGAATTCTCAGCATCCGCCTGTAGAACCACACTTGCTTCATTTTTTTCTCTTCGTCTGTGAGGAGATTGTTCAGCAATAGGAATAATAGTACATAACAGCTCAGAAGCCATTTAATTGTTTCAAACGAAATTTTCTTATTCCTTAGTACTTTTAGAATGTATCTTTTGCAATTCCAGATGCGTGTTCAGATTTCGGTATTGTATATTCCATCCTCCTTAAAAACACTTCCCAGATATTTCAACTCCTGTACTTGTGTAATCATGACATCTCCAGTCCGTATTTCGCACCTTCAGCTGTCCCTTTTGCTGACAATCATATATTCTGGCTTCTCACAATTGATGGTAAGTCCTTTCTTCTCGCTTTCCTTTACTAACTTGTCTAGAGAGGTCCTGTAGTTTTCATTCCGTGTCTGCCATCAACATAGTGTTATCTGCGTATTTCATATTGTTAAGATTGTACCCGATAATTAATCCTGGTCTTTATTGTTTATGCATTCATTTTTTTCCTTTCTTTCACCGATCTTTGGCGTTTTGTTATATTTCTGACTAACTTTCATGTTTTTTTTTCCTCTAATTTATCCATCTTAGAAGTCATTTTGTGTTTAAGCTTTCATTTTCCCACCATTCTATTTTATTGTTTCTGCGCATGCTTAAACTTGTATATTGTCATTTCTTTCAGTCCTCCATTTTCTTTTGTCATGATCGTGTTTCCCTTTGCTTTCTTTCCTATATTACATCCATCCGCTTCGTCTTTCCTTTGTTATAATTTTATTTCCTTCTTCTTTTTCTTTGTCTTTTTCTTTTATTTTTATAGGCATGCGGCCATGTCACATTGAAACGTCGGTCCTCGTACGATCACCAAAGTTAAGCAACATCAAGCATGGTCAGAACCTAGATCAGTGACCACTTGGGAATAGCAGGTACTGTAAGCTTGCATGTGCGGGTGGTGTAATCGATAAAGAGCCGGAATATGAGACATATCGAGAACATTTCACATTGAACATGAAGAAAAATTAATTATTTTTAATAATATGTAGAAATCTCCACTTTTACCTGAAGACGGTCGCGAGACCAGAAACACGTGTCGTAGTAAAATTATGTAAAACAAAGCATAATATTTTTTCTAAATAAATCCACATTACAACAAAAAACGTTTGCGGCACCTCTCTTCTTTTTAATATATATATATATATATATATATATATATATATATATATATATCCTGGAAAGAGGATGTAATCAATGAGGATGTTTTGTTGATGGTTGGAAACAAAAGAACATCTGATTAGAATCAGCAAGAGTAAGGCAGACATTTCTGTGATCCATAATAAGGACCGAAGGATGCTGACGTATTCCATGGATTGAATATGCAATCAATGAGAATGTTTCAAGGAAAGTAGGGACAACCAAGGACATCTACTTAGACGAAAGATGAAAGCTATATAATTTTTTACTATTCCAACTTATTTCTGTTTTGGTGACATATTTTTCATCCTCTTTAAAAACACTTCCCAGATATTTCAATTCTTGTACTTATGTGATCTTGACATCTCCAGTTCGTAGTTCGTACCTTGGGCTGTCCCTTTTGCTGACAACCACGTATTCTGTTTTCTTACAATTCATGGTTTGTCTTTTCTTATCACGTTCCTTTACTACCTTGTCTAGAGAGGTCCTGTAGTTTTCATCCCGTGTCTGCCATCAACACGGTGACATCGGAGTATTTTATATTGTTAGGACTGTACCCACCGAACAATACATTTCACTGAACGGAAAAACTAGTCTAGAAGAGATTATGTAAGAGAATTGATATTATATAGCAGTTTAGAAGGCCTTCCTTTGTTTCTGTTATATACCGTACCTATGAACACTAATGGGCATGTCCCAATCCTTATAAATACGTTGGAGACTATTGTAAGTGAGGGTGATATGGTGTCTATGTAGTCCACCAATAGCAGCGGTTTACCTATTTCACGCCGCTGGCGAGTATTGTATTTTGTTGATGTCATAAAAATTACCATTTCATTTCCAACCTCCGTTTTGGTTATTCAGTAACCTTTTCTAGGTTACAACAGTTTCTAACGAAATTGTTCTATTTTTGCTTAGCTTTCGAAATTGATCTAACGAGACAAGATTTGTAAACTTTACACCACTTCAAAGTGACCCACTCGAACAATACGTTACACAAGGCAGGGAATGAGTGATAGAGAGATATTTCAATAATTACCTTTCGCTTGCTAACTTTTCGTCAATTTCAAGGTGCCTATAATCATACTTATTATAAAACACAGCTTGTGTGTGCGCGTGTGTCTGTTCGTTTATATATTGGATCGGATTTCCTACATTTTTCAACCGATTTCAACAAAACTTCACAGGACTACGTAAAATTACCTTACGGTGGTTCTGACAGTGCCAAAAATTGGAAAAAACCCAATTGTTTTTGCACGAAATCAATTTGAAAACACGATTAAGAGGCATCACTGTCGCCAGAATGAAAGGGGGACAACTCATATCGAGTTATACTTATTATAAAACCCAGGTTGTTTGTGTGTGTGCGTGCGTATGTTCGTTTATATATGAGATCGGATTTCCTACATTTTTCAACCGATTTCAACAAAACTTCACTTTTTTTGGCAGGTAGTGTTTCTTATTGTCTTGCACACCTTTTTCTTTATTTTTACATTCAGAATGCTTTAAAAATTCTATTTACACGACAATTGTTTATAATAAAATTCTATTCAATCGGTAGACTCATAACGATTGAAAACAATGTTTTTGTTTGAGTTTGGGTTTGACCAATTCATAAAAAAAAAAATAAAACTAATTAAGACATGCGTGTCCGTCAACTTTAAACAATAATCTTTGTCAGTTTTATTTTTCAATCTTTATGATGGTCGATACTTGATCTATCTCTTACTGTTCCATCCCCGGGCAACGCCGGGCTCTGCTGCTAGTATTAACTAAAATGAAGTTCGTACAATTTCAAGCTACAAATTCAGAGCCCACAATATGGAATGAACTCATGATAAAAAACAAAACAAAGAAACAAACAAGAAGCATTGAACAAAGCAAGAAAGAAGAGGAAGCTGTGGCAAGCGAAGATCGTTTAGCGCTGAAAGGATCACAGCTCATAAAAGAAGAATCAATAGCATAAAAATACACGCTTTGTATAATTCCGCGAGTATAGAGTGTCCCATGTAAAATTGTAAATAAGAGCATTTATACCGGTGGTCAGTGTCCGTATTACTTGTAAAATCTACGTCCTCTCTCGGATATTAATCTCTATGTATGTGTCGATGGCATGTATTTCTTATTTAACCCCAGGAAATGGACTGTCAAATGCATTCCATTCACAGATGATGACACTACATTGAGTGGCGGGAAAGTCAATAGGATTTGTCAGGTCCCATTTCTTTAAAAAAAAAAAAGAGTAATCTCGGAACGAAGTCTTCGCGGGTTCACGAGCAGGCTTGGTAGTAATTTCTCCAAAGAAATTCGTCGACATTATCATGACATTTCCGAGATTAGGACTCAGATAGACAGAATATAATGTGCCTTTACAGAAGGTGGGTGTAACACAAGACATTATCTCTTTATGTGTTTCAATGCATTTCTTTCTTTCTTTCTTTCTTTCTTTCTTTCTTTCTTTCTTTCCTTCCTTCCTTCATTTTCTTTCTTTCTTTCTCTCTTTCTTTCTTTCTTTAATCACTTTATTCCTCTTTTATTCCTCTTTCTTTTCCTATTCTTTCTTTTTCTTTCTTTCTTTCTTTCTTCATTATTGAAGATATAATATTTATTTGCTTTCTACCGAGTCTCTTTTATTTCTTTTTTCTTTCTTCATTATTGAACATATAATCCTCATTTGCTTTCTACCAAGTTTGTTTGCTTGTTTGTTTATTTGTTTGTTTGTTTGTTTGTTTGTTTCTTTCTTTCTTTCTTTCTTTCTATACTATTTATGAACGTCTGTTTCTATCTATCTATCTATCTATCTATGGTATCCAAATATATGTAATTTAGTTAATTCCTATTAAGTAAGTTGTAGCATTATTGTTAATATACATAGAAAATCCACGAAGGGTATATGTTTACGTGCATAATGTCCACACACACACACACACACACACATACACACACGCACACACACACAAATATATATATACACACACACACATATATATATATATATATATATATATATATATATATATATATATGTCAACCAATACTGAAGAAGTAAAATTTTAAATTCAAAACCCCTATTTAACAAACCTCCTGGTAAAACATCATGGGTCACCGTGGAAATGTATACTTTATTACTCCTCATGTCTGATAGACTTAAACCTTTGTTAAAGAAGACAGAGAAAATAGCGAATATATATATATATATATAGGAAGCATATGTCCATTCAATTATGTTTCATTGGATAATATAGACATAGTTTGTCTACTTATTTTCATACTGATCCTTTCTGTTTGTCTAGTCTTTTTCTTGGTGCTAAGATGAAATACATCAAGGAAGGCGCAGTAGTTTTTACCCCCAAACTTCAAATTCTCGTGGGCCTCTATATAAAAATCATCCAATCGATACTCAACAAAATTTATTACGAATATAGCAACAGCATATTAAAGTGCATATAACCATTCATGTCATTGTATTTTACTATCAATTTCCGGTCAGCTCCCTTATATTAAAACGCTTGTTTTGCATAAAAGTCCATAGCTACAACTGATAATTTAAAAATTTTAAAATGAGTACAAAGCGCGTTGGCGCGTGTTTTAAAAATCCTCATTACAACGGAATACAGATTTTATCGCAGTTACAATTAGTTTGTCTTTGCAATTTGCCCCTGAAGATGATCATTGTAAAAATCGAAACAACTTGGATTAACAAAAACTACGGCGCCTGCCTTGATGTTCATCTTAACATCAAGAAACTGATTAGACGACTGAAAAGTATCAGCATAAAAATAAGTAGAAACAATATGTCTATATTTTTCAGAGAAACACACACACATATATGTATATATCAAAATGAATATACTCAAATAGATAAATATAAATAAATATACATTTCAATTATATATATATATATATATATATATATATATATATATATATATACTTTGGTGTAAGAAAAACAGTGTTCAATGCTAAATAACAGCTACTAAGTATATATTAATAAATATACATTGCATTGAGCATGAAACTTCGATTCGTACTGTCGGCGTGGGATATGCATATTTATTATATATATATATATATATATATATATATATATATATATATATATTATTGACATTTGGAAAAACGTTCACGGAAGTATGTTTCGAAATAAATATGCGATAAAGCATTTCGCCTATATGGCTTCATCAGATGGATAACGAAAAATGTGTTGTGTGTGTATGCATTAGTGTGTGTTTAAAATAATTAAATCTTATATTATGTTTCCCAAGCTGCCGTTGCTCGAGATTAAAAAACGTTTTTCTATATGTAAATACCATAATTCTCTCGGGGTTACTTTCACAAATTTATGATATATATATATATATATATATATATATATATATATATATATTTAATTCCAGTGTCCACTAATATATTTACATACGCTTTATCCCTGATATGGAGAACACAGTATACTTTAAAACTATATTTTCATAATATATATATATATATATATATATATATATATGTATGTATTTATTTGTGTGTGTTTGTGTGCACATGTGTGTGGAATTATATTGAGTTAAATATCCTATATTTGTCGGGAAAGAGAATTCTATTTCAATGTTAGCAATAGAAACTTGTAGATGTAACCAGTGCTGACATAAAAATCAACACTACATGGTGACTATCAACGCTTACACCTGAAGCGCTCAAGATCGTCCGATGATTGCTTAAAGCATGATAGTGACCGCTACCAAGCAGTATTGATGTCTATATCACCAATCTATCTATCTATCTATCTATCTATCTATCTATCTGTAGATAAACTGATACATAGATTGAGAAAATGATACTTATTGATAGTTGCAAAGTTTATTTGAGTATTGCACAACGTTATTTTTCATATTTAATGAGTTAAGCTCTGCACAATAAAGCATTTGATGGACAACCAACGGGAATGGAACTCAATAGATTGTGAAACATTAAGATTATGATGGCTGGGGCCTTATGTCATCATCTCGTTACCGCAGAGAATTGAGAATTGTGTATGGAAATCCCAGTCTTCTTCTTAGAGAGAGAGAGAGAGAGAGAGAGAGAGAGAGAGAGAGAGAGAGAGGAAAAGGTAGGTGAACTCTGTTATCTGCATGTATGACACACGATAACTTGATTTGATTCACTAAATCACGTCACTCAATTGACAACTACTTATTCCATAGGACAGAATTAGCAGTAAGTGGCATCATAGTAGTAGCCATCATAGACGCTATTCAACTAACAGATGGTTTCATCATTTTCTATTTTCTTTTCAACCTTTGTATCTTTTCTACACAACGTTTTCTCCTCTCTTTCTTTTCTTTTCATGAAAATCTTCCTTTCTTTATAGACTATAAGATTTCTTTCTTTCTTTCTTTCTTTCTTTCTTTCTTTCTTTCTTTCTTTCTTTCTTATTGAAGATATAATATTTATTTGATTTCTACCGAGTCTCTTTGTTTCTTTGTTTATTTCTTTTTTCTTTCTTCATTATTGAACATATAATCCTCATTTGCTTTCTACCAAATTTCTTTCTTTCTATCTTTCTTTCTTTCTTTCTTTCTTTCTTAAACATCTAATCTTCATTTGCTTTCTACCAAGTTTCTTTCTTTCTTTCTTTCTTTCTTAAACATCTACTCTTCATTTGCTTTCTACCAAGTTTCTTTCTTTCTTTCTTTCTTTCTTTCTTTCTTTCTTTCTTTCTTAAACATCTAATCTTCATTTGCTTTCTACCGAGTTTGTTTGCTTCTTTCTTTCTTTCGCCATTATTGAACATATAATCCTTATTTCCTTTCTACTGAAAATTCTCATTTTTTGTTTGTTTCTTTCTGTCATTGTTTCTTTCTTTCTGTCTCCATAATTGAACATATAATCTTTATTTGCTCTTTAACGAAAGTCTCATTCTTTCTTTCTTTCTTTCTTTCTTTCTTTCTTTCTTTCTTTCTTTCTTAGTCCGTTCATATGTATTTTAGCTTTTTCACTATCTATCTATCTATCTATCTATCTATCTATCTATCTATCTATCTATCTATCATTTGTCACATCAACGACTTCTTAAAGAACATCGTTCCTCTACGTCATTTGCGTTTTACTCGTTCGTAATTTTCTTCATTCCCGTTTGGCATTCGATGATTTGTTTATTTTCATTATTTTCCTCAATTATTCTTTATTTTTGTGCATTTTATACACTTTTTTAATTCTTTTGTTTTTAATTTCCTGCTTTCATTGTCTGTCCTCTCCATGGACAATTCAGAAAAGCATCTGTTGTCGTTCAGCGGACTGCCATGTCTCCTTTGATTTACAATCTTTCTGTCACACTTTTTTCCTTCACTTCATCTATTTATCATCTATTTTCTTAATTCATTAACTGTGTTTCTTCTTTTAAAATAATTTATCGCTCCCTTTCTTCTTTCTCCTTCCTTCCTTCCTTCCTTCCTTCCATTTGTTCTTATTATTTTTTCTTTTCTCTGTATTTCATGTATTGAGAAATTTTTCTTTAATTTTGTATATTTTCATTCATTTTCTCATTTGTTTTCTTAGCTGTTTTCATGTTTTTCAAGTTTACGGTTTTAATTATTTTCTTTGTTTCTTTATTTCTTTTTCTTTATCTCTTCCTATTCCCCTTTCTTTCTTTCTTTCTTTCTTTCTTTCTTTCTTTGCCACAGTTTAAGTTTCTTTTTCCCCTGATGTCATATTGATGTATTATTTTGTGGCTTCACTTATTTTTTTTTTGTTTTTTTCACTTGCATTTGTTAGTTTGATTTTTGTATCTCTGCCTCCATTTTTTTTCCTTTTTAAAGCGTTCTTTTTTTATTTTCTATCGTTTGTCTTTTTGAAGCACAATTCCGTTTTTTTTTCCTTCGTAAATCCCGTTCATGAAATGTTCAAAATCGGACGCGCAGATGTAAAAGGCAATAACGATGTCAAGCGACCTTGTCTTTGTTTTTAACCTTTTTCCAATGGCCGACAAATGCACGCCTCTGTAGAGCCTTGCGCGCATCTGAGAAAATCATGATTTATATTCTTGGCAAACATTAAAAGATCCCAATGGCCAAAATAGATGAAATTTGATAACTGAATGCTTCATTAACAGTGCAGTTTATGGCATCTGTGCTTCTGATTTGACAATCTCTTTCTTTTGCAAAACGTGTCACCAGTCCCGGTTACATCTATCTGGGGGTCATAACGGAATAGACTTCATATATGTATTTTCTCGCTGTTCGGATTTTGACAGATCAGTCAAGGAACAAAAGTGAATTTGTACGGCAAAGACAAACGAGGGGTTATTAACTTTTTGCTGTTTCTTGAGAGGTCAATATTCAGAGAGGCACAAGCGTCCGAATAAAAACAGAAGAATAATGGGAGTCAAGAAGTTGGTAGTTCGGGTGAAATAACAGTGATTATTGTGCTGGCGGCCATAATGGAATGATTGACAAATGTGAATCGTTCAAATGGCATTTAAATGGCGTCTCGAGTAATAACGAGACTTATTTCCGACAACGTAAAATATCGGTAACCAACCACGACAAAAAAAAATTTTTGAATACTGGTTGAAAATCATTTTGTTCTATTACGTACTGATACGCATGTTGACGCTATGAATCTCAAAATACACCAATATCTGTATAACATTGTGTATCTATCTATATATAAAATTCTGAGACTTCCGTTAATCCGTCCACCACACCCTCTAAAATAGCCATACATTGACCGATCGAAACCAAATTTTGGGAAGAAGTGCAAACGGATAAAGAAATACAAAGTACAGTTGGTTTTACTAGGGTGCATAGCTTAGTACAATAAATTTTCATTAATTTTTTTAAAATTAAAAGTTTTATTATTTAACATGCAAAATACTCTGACTATTTAAAAAAAACAATTTAATGATTAAAATAACAAATACTTATTTAATAAAAATGCAATAAATTTTTGGTATTTGTTTTTCTTTTATATACAATAATCCAGTTTCCCGTTCGCCTTGTGTTTGCGAGAACTATAAACAAATCACAAGGCCAAACGTTTCAAAAAGTTAGAATTTTGCCCCAGAAAGAAATATTTTGGCCAGTCTCATAGTTGTATGTTGTAGGAGGCACGGTGGAGTAATGGATAGCGTCTTGGATTGAGGAATCAGGGAGCCGAGTTTGAATTCCAGTCGAATCCATTACATTCACTTACGTGCTAACAACCTTGGAAAAGGTGTGAATCCTCTTTCTTCTCCCTCCAGCTATGGGTAAATAGCAGGACAGACTGGGTTATGTAGCCTTGGATGGCAACTGGTCTAGGAGACGGAAAACTCTGAATTCATACCTGCTCTTAGAGGAGGGTGAATGGAGTCTCTCTGACCCTTGGTTGGCAATCCATTTAGTGATGGGGACACGATAAAAACACTCTTGATAGCCCTAGCGAAGCATCAAGAATTCAGCTATTTGACAAGATTATGAACTACAGCAATGAAAGTATTGGTGAGTTCAATCTCGCATGAGTTAGAAATAGTAAGAATTTAAACTTCACTGTTTTTCTTAAAAAGTATTGTTTACCATGAAGTTCTATGAATTAAATTAAATAAATTATTAAACCTCGAAGTAGTTTTTTTTTCCAAAGCATTTTCCCAAATAAATCAGCTTATCGAAATTGATTCGTTTGCGAAATTGAATGAAACGTAGAGTTAGTAAATTCCGACAAAAATGTTGGAATATTTTATATTGGATAATTTGACAATACTGTGAGAATTTCAACACGCATCAGTGTGTTGCAAAAATTCTAGTATAGAATAAGTGAAAATAATTTAAGGTTAAGGAATAAATATTTTTTTCATGTTGGGGAAGAGATGATAGTCTGATAGGGTCAAATGTATGAGAATAGCGGGTGGGTGATCAATCAGTTCAAATCCAAAATCACGTACATCAGCCATTGGAACCAAGGACTAAAAATCTGAAAAATGTTGAGTGCATATGTAGTCACCTCCATTATTGCAATATATATATATATATATATATATATATATATATATATATATATATAGTTGTGCGCATGTGTGTGTGGGTCTATATAAAGAATTAATTAAATTTATTTTGAATCTAACATTATTCCTTATTACTTAAAAGTCATATTGTAGCGGATACTGTATTTAAGTAGACGTCACGTCTTTATAGGGTCAAATGTGTGAGAATAGGGGTGGGTGATCAATCAGTTCAAATCCAAAATCACGTACAGCAGCCACTGGAACCAAGGACTATAAATCTGAAAAATGTTGAGTGCATATGTAGTCACCTCCATTATTGCAATATATATATATATATATATATATATATATATATATATATATATATATATATATACACACTTATGCGCATGTGTGTGTGCGTCTATATAAAAAGTAATTGAATTTTATTTTGAATCTAACATTATTTCTTAGTACTTAAAAGTTATACTGTAGCGGATACTCGTATTTAAGTAGACGTCACGATTTTTTTTACCAGTGTGAATTACATGTGGCTTGTGCATTCGTGAAACTTAATAATGAAATGTTGGAGGTCACATTTACTTTATTAGGATTCTCGAATGAACATGCTGGTAAATTTAATTCACACTGTTTGAAAAACAAAACAAACAAAAAAAAATCATGACGTCTACTCAAACACGTGTATCAACTAAATTATTTCTCTACATTCGTCTGCCTTTGTATATTCATGACTTAGGTGCTCTTCATGCTAATTATTTTCTTTATTCTAATACCCCGGATCTCGCTGGCATCCAGACTTCGAACTTCTCAATTGGTTAGTGTCCCAGTAAAATAGTAACTTTCCCCTACTCGTTCCCCCAGTAATTCTGACGGTCACACTTCTTTATTTGATCTTTTCTATAACTCCTTTCCCGATTCTTGTCGTGCTTTCCAACTCTGTTCTGTTGGTAACTCAGATCACACTCTAAAGCTATTTCTTTCCACTCGTCTATTCGGCAAGAACCCTCAACCCACCTTACTTACAGGACACTGGTTCCCAAACTTTTTTTTTTTCTGGGCCGCATGTTTCGGAATTAAAATTTACTCGCGCCTCACCAAATTTTATGTGATAAAAAAGCACATTAAAAATAAAAACGAATCAACGAGACGGTTAAAGGGAGATAACCGCGGATTCGAAGTCAGAACATTATCATTGATAACAACACATATAAGATTCGCCAGCGGCGCGTAAATGTAGTCAACTTCTAGATGTGAGTCAAGCGAATTCCAAAATGAATCTCCAACTGCAGGATATCTCCTAACCTCCCTACGCGGTCAGATGTCGTACAAGGCCGAATTTAATGTGGAGTGTCCGAGCCCGTAGGTTCGGCCAAAAATTCCCCGTAGACCCAGTATAAAACGAAGTGAGGTAATTGTTTCCCGAGACGAGACCCTGTCCTTCGACATAGCCTCGTTCAGAGGAGATCCTCTCTGTCCGGAGGCAGAGTGTTTGACCAGCACAGCTGGAGACGAATATTCAACTACCGACCAACATACAGTATTTACTACTGTATTTATGCGAATCGGGACATACCCATTATCGTCCATAGGTATGCTATAACACATATATTGTTTGCTTAATGTTATTTTTGCCATGTTATTTTCTTTCTTTTGTTAAGGTTTATTGCAAACTTTGTCAATTTTGTTTGTTGTGCATTTTTGACAATTACATTTAATCATGACCAATTACTCTACACCACTTTTTTTTAACCGTAGCTACGTTATCCTTAAGTCTTATTTTATTAAAGATTCGAGAGTATAAAAAGATGTGTTCATCTTCGCGTGTTTTATTATTCTATTATGATAAATAATGAAGAAATGAAAATAACTGTCTGCAAATCGAATTATTCAAGAAACCCTAGAGAAAACCCTACGTTGTAATAGGTAAAATTATCTTAGACGTTGTGTGATGTTTAATCGTGACGAAAGCAAAACAAAGAACTAACAAGGAGGTAAGTGCATAGTCAGTAATCAATTAGTGATTTACTTCACTCAAAACTCGTCTGTCTGTGTCAAATTGGGTTAGCCAAATTTATCTGCAGATCAACGGGGCACCTTTCATCAATTAGCCAAACGAAATCGGAAGCGTTCGGTTCTTCATTTCCCGTCTTTAGCCACTATTTCCGGTCATTCTACGCCCTGTCCGGACTTGTCAGTGACTACTTTTACGAGTTGCTACTTCTTCTCTGATTAGATGACTCTACCTCCTGCAAATCCTTCTACCGCATAGTTTTCAACAAATCGTCTTTTATACTCTCTTGAATCTCTTCCGTTTTCTTCTGTCTATGATTTATTTTTACTTTCTCCCATTACGTTTGCCTTTTGAATGTCATGTGCCTATTTTAGTTTTCAATTTATTCCTTTTTTAAAAATTATTTCTGCTATTATCTAAGATTTCCCTTTTGTTTAGATGTTTTTTTTTTTAATGACTGTTTCAAGGATTCTGTTTTGTAAAATATCTATTTAGGTAGAATACTATGCATTATCTGTCTTTTCTTAAAATATATACTTTATCCCGCACAATACAAATGATTAATGGATTTGTTTTTTTGTTTTTTTTTACAGCTAATCGTAGCTTTGTAGGGTATTTAAAACCGAAACACATTTTAGAATAACAATAATTATTCCAGATAATATTCCTACTAGTTCCTATCTATCTATCTATCTATCTATCTATCTCAATCTCTTATCTCTCTCTCTATCTCTCTCACTATCTCAATCTATCTATCTATCATCTATCTATCTATCTATCTATCTATCTATTATCTCTCTCTCTCTCTCTCTATCTATCTATCTACCTATCTATTTATCTCAATCTCTTATCTATCTATCTATCTATCTATCTATCTCTATCTATCTATCTCAATCTCTTATCTCTCTCTCTCTCTCTATCTATCTATCTCAATCTCTTATCTCTCTCTATCTCTATCTATCTATCTCTCTATCTCAATCTCTTATCTATCTATCTATCTATCTATCTATCTATCTACTCACGTGTGACGGTCCAGTAGCTCGGTTCTTAGAGTCAAACAGTCAGAATACTGACATATATCATCTCTATCTATAAAAGGCAGGATGTGTGTGTGTGTAACGAATGCACGGCCGCAATTTTCGACGGATTTGCACCAAAATTTACATGCACATGCTCCAAGTTAGCGGGAAGACCAAGACCGACTTTGTATTTCCCAACTCCCATCGATAGTGGAAATAATCGATCTTTTCATGCTTCTACGGCAGTTTTCTTATAGTTTGCGGCCATTTTCTATTGGCCAGAGTGAGAGCCTATGGCTGGCTGCCAGGAATAGGCAGGAAGATTCTATTGCCCAACATGACTGACACGAATGCTAACTAGCATGCTAGAATGCAAAAAAAATCGATAGCTGCATTCGATAGCGGGAAAAATTTAAATCTGCATGGCACTTTACTCCAATTGGCTCATTCGCTTGCTTAAACTCAACGTTGATTCTGATTCGGCAGAACTGGGTTGGGTGTGAAAAAGTATTTGTTGTTAACATTCTTTTTTCATTCAGTTTTTCCAGTTACGAGTCCTTTTTTAAAGCTGATCGTTTTGTGTTCATTTTGTTTAGTTCTTTTTTCGTAACAGATTTAATGTTTAGTATAGAGCTTAGAAAAAATTCGCAGTGTGAGATAGGAAAGAAGTAAGGCATGTAGCAACATCAGCACGGCAAAGGGCACTCCTTTAAAGGCAAGGAAGGGCAAAAATATTTTAAGTCAAGTGATAGCGATTGCTGTATGTCATACGATTTCTGAATCATGCACGGGCAACACCGGGCCATGCTTCTAGTTTGATTATAAAGGTGAAAGTTTGTGTAGAACCAACCGAAAACTGAGAACTGGTGCGTATAGTGTGCCACAAATCCTCGAAACGAACTTCCTCAAGTTTCAAATTCAGAATTCTTCCTCCCCTAGATTGGTTGGCAACTAGGTCTATTGGTCACAATACGTCCTTCTATTTAACAACAGCTAATGTGGGGGCGGGGTATCAGTTCATACCATTCCCAAATTTATTGGAGCGTAAGTAAATGTAACTTGTTTGACTGGGATTTGAACTCGGCTGCCCTTATTTCTCATTCCGAGTCGCTATTCACTTTATCACCCGTGAATCCATAAGAAAGCTTGCGAATCATCAAGTGTAGAGGGTTACAGGTTATTATACAAGTGGTGTGGGATATGACTGGAATAAAAGGGCACGGGGGTGGGGGAGAAAGTGACGATTATGAGGACAAATAACGATTGCACCTTGGTCAAGACTGAAGTGTATGGGAACCTCTTGTGTGCTTGTCTGTTCCACAAATTGGCAGTCTTTGGGAAACGACTACAACTTACTTCTTGAATTTGGAACACGGTGGAAATGCTAGTAATTCGGTTCCATGTAAGTGGCATCATATATCCTAGCTAAAAAGTGCTGAAATGGCGTAAGAAAAGAATGGAGCACGTCTGAATATTTGTCATGGAAATAGCGATAAGCTGGCCATGAAATGATGTCTGTAGGGAAGAGGTTGGCGATTTTTGTACAGAAAACTGCGTTAAATGTTTTGAACTCTGTTAAGGCTCGAAAAATGAGGATTGAACAGATGTTGCCCAAATTTTGGGGCCAGGATTTTTTTTATCTATCTATCTATCTATCTATCTATCTATCTATCTATCTATGTCAGTCTGTTATCTGTCTGTCTGTCTGTCTCTCTCTTTATCTATCTATCTATCTATCTATCTATCTATCTATCTATGTCAGTCTGTTATCTCTTTCTCTATCTATCTATGTCAATGTGTTATCTATCTATCTATCTATCTATCTATCTATCTATCTATCTATCTATGTCAGTCTGTTATCTCTCTCTATCTATCTATGTCAATGTGTTATCTATCTATCTATCTATGTCAGTCTGTTATTGTTGAAACTTGACTAATGCATGGAATAATAATACAACACAAAATGTACTTAGAACAAAATGTATTGAAACAAGAAAGTGTACACAATATTTACATATAGTCTTTTGGTATATTCTTGGGAAGACCGTTCCTGGAGAATGTGTTGACTTAGTCGCAGTCGGGCAGAGTCTCTGGTTGAATCTCTTGATTCCTCCTACTCTCTTCCCGGTACCAACCATATTTATATGGTCGGTACTCCACTATGCAAATTAGGTGGATCCTACCACAACACCCCCCTCCCAAGCCTTGGAATCCCTTTTGGATTTCCAACTGGCTTCCTATATGGGTTGATGATTATGGCTATTTCTTTGTAGATCCATTTGCATACTTCATATGCATATGTCCATCTGCTTAATTTTAATATTTTTTCCGTTTTGGATTCACGTCAAATGGGTCCGTGAACTTCCGTTTCCTACCGGATCTTCTTGGTTCAGGAGTATTCTGTGCAGGTTCTACTTGAAACATATACATTACATCAATGAGATCTCCCTCCTCATCCGGTATACTCTCTTCATGCTCTATAACGTAACATTTTTTAAGTTGGTTCTGGTGCCTTTTATGAGTAATCTTCGGCCCTTTAATTATGTAAATCAAGTCACCGATTCTCTTGTCCACTATGCCTCGCTCCCAGAACTCAACGTTGTTTTTGTAGCACTTGAAAAACACCTTCTCTCCGGAGGTGTATCTTTTTCTCGCTGTATACATAGTATTCTTTACTTTATTTTTTCCTGGCAAAAGCTTGTCAAACACTGACTTAACTTTCCTAGCGAACATTAGTTCAGCTGGTGCCATGTTTGAGCGTGTTCTCTGGTTTGGCGTGATTCTGTATACTTGTAGGAATTGCTGAAGCGCCTTTTCCGTTGGAACTCCTGAGGCTTTCTTCAGAGCGCGCTTTAAAGTATCGACAAATCTTTCTGCGAGTCCATTGGACCTCGGATGATACGGCGGCGTCGTTATGTGTTTAATTTGATATAACTCACAAAATTCCTTAAAATCTTCAGAAATGAATTGTGTACCATTGTCACTCACAATACACTCTGGCACACCGAACCGTGCAAATAGTTCATGCAAAAAAGTTGTGGTATTGGACGTAGGCTTTTTGCAGCGTAGTACTTCTGGCCATTTTGTAAAACTATCTACCACTATTAAGTAGTAATAATCTTCTACTGGACCAGCGAAATCAATGTGTAATATTGTCCACGGATGATCCGTCTTGGGCCATGGTTTGTGTACTATAGGTGGTGCCTTAGCTGCTAACGCACACCCTTTACATCGGTGAACCATGTTTGCGATATCCACATCCATTCCTTTCAATACACAAAGCTTCGCATTAAGCTTTTTGTTCTATTAATCCCAGGTGACCCATATGAAAGTCCCGAAGTATTCTTTTCTGCAACTTTTTGGTATTACTACTCTCTTACCATATAATAACACTCCGTCACCTATTGAATAAATCTCCTGCACTTTTTGGTCATTTGCTACCATTTTGCCTTTTATTTCTAAAATGAAATCATCGCTTTCAGCTTCTTTTTTAATTTCCTTTAGAGTAACCGGTAGCTCTCTTACAATGTTGTTTACCATGCTTTTCACCTCATAATCTGCTCTGATATTTGCAATAATTGATTATTCGAATCTTTCTTCTTGACTCGGTACGAGTCTTGATAAACTATCCGCATGAATTATATTTTTGGATGATAGGTGCTTTATGTGAAAATCATAATTGAGAAGAATGGTTCCCCATCTCAACAGACGATTTGCCGTATAAACGGGTAACCCTTTCTTTGAACCAAAAATAGTTATCAGAGGTTTATGATCCGTTTCAAGCATAAAATGTCTGCCGTGGCTGTATCTATGAAATTTTGTTATGGCATAAATGATACTCAGTACCTCTTTTTCTATTCTCGAAGCATGTGCAATTGGTTTTCTAGAACCATCTGGCATTATGTGTTGAATACACGCTCCTATCCTGTATGAACTAGCGTCACTTGCCACTACAATATTCAGTTTTGGATTGTAATGGGTTAAAAAGAGGTCGGACGTAAGCATTTTCTTTATTTCATCAAAGGCTTTCTGACATTCTACCGTCCATTCCCATGCCTTGTCTTTTTTTAGCAGTTCATTCAACGGAGCTCTTAGATTGTACATTCCTTTAATGAACGCTTGATAATAATTTGCAAGCCCCAGAAAACTCTGTAGCATCGCCACATTAGTGGGCGTCGGCATGTCTCTAATCGCAATGGACCTTTCCGGATCTGGAAATCTGCCATTTTTGTTGATTATGTGACCTAAATACTTAATTTCCTCCAAACCAAATTCGCACTTTGACTCTTTGACTTTAAATCCAAAGTCCTGAATCTTTTTAAATACTTGATTGAGATGCTCTCAAAAAAATCGAAACAACTTACGACTTTTTTTTATTTTATGTCTTGCTTTATAAAATATTGTTGAGCAACCAAAAAAAAATAATTTTTTTTTTTTAAAAGTTCGTTACCTTTCAAAGTCGACACGGTGTATTTGTGCGTCTTTTAACTCCATGCATGTTTTTGTAGTCGGCCAGTTTTTTTTGTTTTTTTTTAATTCACCGTTATTCGTTTACGCCACCTTTCAGATTTTTCTGAGTGAACGTTCCTTTATGCTTAGTCGTCCTTTAACGAGTTTTAAATATCCAGAACTTCAGAATCCTTTGCCGTTCCATTAGATGTTGGACATTTAATTAATATTTTTTTTCCTTCAGCCTGGGTTCTTCAAAGACTTGTCCCAATTGTTGAAGGCTATCAATTATCAATTCTTTTTTTTTCCGTAAAGTTCTTTCTACCTCGTCGCCATTGTTGAAACTTGACTAATGCATGGAATAATAATGCAACACAAAATGTACTTAGAACAAAATGTATTGAAACAAGAAAGTGTACACAATATTTACATATAGTCTTTTGGTATATTCCTGGGAAAACCGTTCCTGGAGAATGTGTTGACTTAGTCGCAGTCGGGCAGAGTCTCTGGATTGAATCTCTTGATTCCTCCCTCTCTTCCCGGTACCAACCATATTTATATGGTCGGTACTCCACTATGCAAATTAGGTGGATCCTACCACAACAGTTCTCTCTCTCTCTCTCTCTCTCTCTCTCTCTATCTCTATCTATCTATCTCTCTATCTATGTATCTATCTATGTCAGTCTGTTATCTCTCTCTCTCTCTCTCTCTCTATGTATCTATCTATGTAAGTCCGTTATCTCTCTCGATATCTATCTATGTCAATGTGTTATCTATCTATCTATCTATCTATCTATCTCATACTCTGTATATTATACTGGGATTAGTTTTTTAATTTTAAAATATATTTGGGATTTAAAATAAATGGGATATATATATATATATATATATATATATATAAAAGCAAAAACTAAAACAAAAAAAAACTTCTTTTAGCGTCGTGAATATTAATTTTTTATATGAAACATAAAATTAGATTACTGGTTCTTTTTCAAAAAACAAAACATAATTTTTATTAAAAATTGATCTGGCTCAAGGTATTTGAGCGGATACTTATTTTTAGGTCTACATGTAGCGATTAATTCATTTCTCTTAATTAATAAGCTAGGTTTATTTAAGCATTTGAAGATAACTGATTTTTCAAAAAGACAAAAATTACATACATTGCCTTTCCCACTGTAAGATTTGGCTCTTGCTACAATATCGCACGTAATAATCAATGTATTACTACGATTCTTTAAATACCAGTTATGGCATCACAGTTATTATTGAGAAATGTAACAGACACTTACGATAAAAGAATACTAAGAATGAAACAAAAGGTTAAGGTTTTTCAAAATTAAAAGATATGGAATGCGGATTTAAATCCTGTCGAGGGTTAAATTCTTAGTTTATAACCCATGATGTTTTTAATGATTGTAGAATATAAAAAAGACCTTTTATCGCTGGAATAAGAAGCAAAAGAAAAGGAGAAAAGAAATTGTAGAAAATGAATACGAAACAATGTTTACTTAAATCTTGAAAAATTTAAAATTGATTTCTCATCATAGCGCACATATGTTTGTAGCTGACCTCGAAGTACTGACAAAATATCCGATAAAGATAAATTTTATCATCCATTTCTGAAAGTCATTAGCTATAAATTATTTTACGGTGTCAATATGTTTGCGGTAAAATATTTCCTTCCGTAGAACTTGGCAACGGAAGAAGAACGTTGAGTTTGTTCAACTGGTTCTTCCACCAAATGTAATATAATTTTTGTTGACGAATAGAAAAACAACCATTTATGAAGTATATTTTAAATTGTTAAAACTGCTTTTGGCTATCTATCTATCTATCTATCTATCTATCTATCTCATTCTTTTCCTTATCTATGTATGCCAATCTGTTATCCCCCCCTCTTTCTCTCTCTCTCTCTCTCTCTCTATATATATATATATATATATATGTCAATCTTCTATCTATCTCTCTAATTTAACATCTATCTTTCTTTTGATGTTTGTTAATATCTATCTATCTATCTATCTATCTATCTATCAGGAAAAATGATCGTTTCTTTGTACCGCTCCAGAAACCCCATGACTTCCGTTCTATGTTTACAAGAAACAGATCAAACCAAATATGGAGTAATTCTGCACCTTCTGCTTACCTCGGAGTTATTGACAAGATCCAGAGAAGGATATGTAATCTAATTGGCCCTGATCTAGCGTCTTGTTTGCAGTCACTCTCTCACAGACGCGCCGTCGCCTCTCTCTGTCTTTTCTACAAATACTTCCATGGTAACTGCTCTGATGAGCTGCTCTCTCTGGTTCCCAGACTCCATGAATTCAAGCGCCCTACGAGGCTGGCATCCCGCTCTCACCCTTACACCGTAGAAACCTTCAAATGTAGCCGTCTCTTCTACTCCAATAGCTTCATACCTCGCACCTCTCGCCTGTGGAACACCCTCCCCAATCACTGTTTCCCTGAAAGCTATAATCTCCAACTATTCAAATGTAATGTCAATCGACATCTCCAATTACCTTGATCTACCCACTATCCTTCTCCTCATCCTTTCTCCTATCACTCTTATCTGCTCTCGCTCCAAATCTTCCGCAACCCCCTGCATCCTAGTGGCTTCACGCCTTGCTTGGGGCACAATGCTTAAAAAAAAAAAAAAAAAAAAAAAATTCTGCCACACTTAGGCTGAAGCTGCCCAATCTTCCCTTTCCAGCGTTGACAGAGTTCAAATGCGATTGCTTAGCTTTGCGGGTGATAAATTTAATGCCATATTTTTTTCCTCAAAAATTTATTGTTGGTAATTTTTTTCCTCAAACATTTATTACTGGTAATTTGTTTTTTAAAAATGTATTGCTGGTAATAATGTAATTCTGGTAATAATTTTTCTTCAAAAAATTATTGCTGGTAATAAATTTTACAAGTATTTCTGGTATTAAAACTTATTTTTACACTTACATAATGTTTTGACCCCGGTTTTGGGGTTAACTATTTACCCATAGCTGGGAGCCTAACAGGTGCTAGCACACCAGCAATAAAGAGGTGGTTCCACGCTCCTCAAAACTTCCTTGCTGTTAGACGTAGTTTATCGTTATGCCCAGGACGCGGGTGTAGTTTATCGTCATACCCAGTAGGCGGATGTAGTTTATCCTCTTACCCAAGATACGGATATAGTTTATCGTTATACCCAGGACGCGGGTGTAGTTTATCGTCATACTCAGGAGGCGGATGTAGTTTATCGTCTTACCCAAGATACAGATGTAGTTTATCGTTATACCCAGGACGCGGGTGTAGTTTATCGTCATACCCAGTGGGCGGATGTAGTTTATCCTCTTACCCAAGATACGGATATAGTTTATCGTTATGCCCAGGACGCGGGTGTAGTTTATCGTCATACCCAGTACGCGGGTGTAGTTTATCGTCTTACCCAAGATACAGATGTAGTTTATCGTTATACCCAGGACGCGGGTGTAGTTTATCGTCATATCCAGGAGGCGGATGTAGTTTATCTTCTTACCCAAGATACGGATGTAGTTTATCGTTATACCCAGGACGAGGGTGTAGTTTATCGTCATACCCAGGAGGCGGATGTAGTTTATCGTCTTACCCAAGATACGGATGTAGTTTATCGTTATACCCAGGACGAGGGTGTAGTTTATCGTCATACCCAGGAGGCGGGTGTAGTTTATCGTCATACCCAGGACGTGGTGATCTAATGTCTTGCTCAATAAATCAGATAATTCAGAAGATTTTAAGTATTTCGATATGTCGATTGCCGAAGAGAACGAGTACAATATGGTTCCTTAGAGCTGGATCCTCCAATATCTTGCTCAAAATTTACGAAAACGGTTCAGATTCACTGATCGCTTTTTACGAAACCGTGTTCATTGGGCGATCAGGGCTCTCCACAACTTCTTATCGTTTTCAGCAATAAGCAATATTTATCCCCTGGATATCCACCATAATCTCAGTCCTACTATCCATTTGCCAAACTCGTTAGGTAGGTCACTCCATGTTACTCTCTATTCGCTCAGGCCTTCTGTATGTTTTGTAAGTGTCAGATTCTCCAAGGCCTCTTTCCTTACTATTGTGGAGTGATTTCACAGTGGACGCTTGTATTTGTACTAAGTCGGTCCTAAAATAGGTTCGACGTACAAATCGTTAGGAACTTGATATAAAAGATATAACGCAGAGTAATCTAGTTGTGGTCACTGATACTTTAGTATTCGACTAACTGTCGTCCGACATCGACTGACTGACCGACCGACTGAGCGACTCCCACGTTACTCTTACTACTCCTAATTATTATAGGTGGGAGAGTCTATTAAATATAGAATAGGTCTGTTCCACTATAACACTTACCATATGCGTTCCAGAAATTTCTACTGCGGCTTTCTGATTTTAATCTCAAGTATCTTTATCGTTATCATTTTCCTTAAAACAGCTTCGTTGTTCACAAGGCTCACAATCTCAGCATCCTTATGTAGAACCACACCTGATGTCTCCTTTTCACCTGTGAGGAAATTGTCCAGCATTCACTGCCATATTAATATCACATAGCAGTTCAGCGGTCCTTTCTTTGTTTCTAATCCTGTTTTTTAAAACTTTGCTTAACTTTTGGAAGGCATCTTTCATTAATGAATTTTTTTTTCTGCTTACAGAAAATCACGTTGAAACACCGGTTCCCGTTTGTTCACCGAAGTTAAGCAGTGTCAAGACTGTTCAGTAACTAGATGGGTGACCGCTTGGGAATGCAAGCTGCTGTAAATTTGGATGTGCGAGTGGTCTAATGAATAATGTCCCAGAATTGTTAATCGCAGAGTCGAGTTCTAATTCCTGTTGGACTAGTTATATTAATTTAAGTGAAATACTGTTGGTAAAGGTATGACCCCCACCTCCTCTCATAGGATATAGGTTAATTAGTAAGACTTGTATCACTAAACCATTATTGTCTAAAAGAATAGAAAAGAATTCTTACAATGTAAAAAAAAATTCTGGCTTTAAATAACCTGCGAAGGCTGATAATCCGTAAATAACAAATGAATCAATCAATCGATTTTCAAGACGATGTGAGGAATAATTCTTCCGTTAAATGCTAAAATAGAAACGTTTTAAAGTTTATTAATACAATAAGGTGTTACATACCGTGCCTATGAACAGTAATGGGTAAAACCCAATCCTCATAAATACGTTGGGCTTTATTGTAAGTGGAGGTATTATCCTGTCTAAGTAGTCCACCAGTAGCAGTGGTTTACCTACATCCCGCTGCTGGCGTGTGTTGTATTTTGTTGATGTTATAAAGATTACCATTTTATTTCCAACCTCCATTTTGGTCATTTCTCATTCAGTAACCCTTCATAGGTTACAACTATTCAATTTAATAAATTAATTAAAATCCATTTAATAGTAAAGGGCGTTCTAATTGAATAAATCCTTGATTTTTGTAATTTAAAAAAAAATTAAAAAAAGATTAGGTTTCTAATAAGATCCACTTTCTTCTATCACCAGCATAACTTTTTGATTTGAATTCATGGATATCTCTATGAAAATCTAGAACGTTGACAACCGAACTGGAATCTTTAACGCTAGTGCCAGGTTAGGCTACATTTAAAAATCCCTGCATCACTAATTTTGAATTTTACTACTTGGGATTTCTTCGGCTGATTTGAAAATAAGCTGGTCTAAATTGATGGGTAGGTAGAGTAACGACTATCGGTGTGGAAATTGCAGTCGTTCTACTGAATTCAAAATCTGCTAAAGTCAGCTGCGTACACTTTTTGCATAATGCCTTTGGGAAAGGCCTGAACCGATTTCATCTTTCAATTGTGAGTTAAATAGCATGGTAGAATTGGCTTGTCTTGGGCAGTAACGGATATAAGAAAAGAAACATGGCAAGCAGTGTAGAAAGCAACGGTGAACCACTCCATAATTTTTTCCTAAGAAGGTATGGTAATTCACTGATAATAAAGAAAAGCAACGTGTGGAAAGCCATGATAACTTACATTCTGATGGGACATGATATTAAAAGTATACAAAGTTAAAGTTTAGCAGAGTTGGGATTTCAAATGCAGACTTGTTTGCTATATGTAGTCCGATTTAACAACCCCCGGATATTTGCAAAGTATTAAGAGAGTGATTTTTCTCTGTCTCCATTTTTGTTTGTCAAAACCCTGATAGCTTTTAATCTAATATTAAGATACCAGTTTTCTCGCACAAAGGTAAAAAAAAAAAAAAACCCGTAAAAACAATATCCTCGTGTACATAGTCGATGCAAAACTTTATGCAACGAATAAAAAGAACTGAAAACGTTGACCTGGGGTTATCTCTTCCCCTTAATTTTCTACCTGCCTAGTTCAAGATGGCAGACTCAAGTAACACAAAACAAACAAACAACAAACAAATAAAAAAAAAAACCAACAACAACAAACATGTCTAACGTTTAGCTATAGAGTGATTCTAATCGGAGAGCCTGTTATTTATTGGACATATCGGACTTCAAATACGTCTTCGTCAATCTCGATGGCTTACAGCCACATCTCGTTGAAACACAGGTTTTCGTTAAGCAATGTAAGGTCTGGTCAGTGACCTAGATGAGTAACTGCCTGGGAATACCGGGTGCTGTAAACTTAGATGGGCGAGTGGGGTAATGGCAAACGAGTCGGAACTGTAAATCGGAGAGCCAAATTTCAATTCCATTCGAGTTCGTTAGATTTATTTACACGTAAATACCCTTGGGAAAGGTATGAATCTAACTCTTCTGCCCCTAGCTATGGGTTAATTAGTAGGACTTGTATCAGTAAATTATTATAATCGCCAAAAAGTTCTTACAATCTAAAAATATATTCTGACCTTAAATAACCTGCAAATGGTTGGTAAGCCGTAAAAAAAGAAATAAATCACTTGTCGATCTCAATTTTGATATATTTTAAAAAATGTTGATGCGATAAATTTTAATTTTTTTTTAAAAGCATCCCGTAACAATGTTAAGTCAATCCCGCCATTAAATTTTCATAACTCAATGTCATTAAAATTAGATCAATCCATCTGCCCATTCAAATGACGCCCAAGTCAACCAAACGACAATTTCTGGATGAGACGATAACAAAAGAAGCATTTTTATTATTAAGAGACAACATTTTTAAACTAAAACTTAATGGTGATAAACATTGAACTGAGATTTCAGAAAAATATATTGCTAAGAGATCTTCGTAAGTACCTATTTCTATATTATTAGCATAATTGACTTTCATTTTAAACAGAAAGGTCGTTTACCTTAACCTGACATTTGAGTTCGATCCTCACTGGCCTTTCACCTTTCGGCCTTGTGCCACATCTAAGCTACGCTTGGAAAATCACTATCTCAACCTGATATTTTAGCAAGTTTCTGCAATGAATAAATAACGTAATGAAGTTAAGACTTAGTTATTTGTCGTTCTGCTTTTTACCACATAGATGCCAACAATATGTTTCGGAATAGCGTCTTTTTTCTTCAGACACTGCCAGACGCGTCATATGAGAAATTATTAATAGACTTGATATTCATTGGATAGATAGAATATTCCTCTGAAAGGCATTCTCAAGTATCTGAGAACTCTCAATTAATACGGTCATCCGCAATCCCCATAACGGCAGGCAAATTTTCAATTAGATTCGTAACAGCCGCCATTTTCATGAACTTGAAATTAACGAGCGTTTGGTGATAGGAAGAGGCGTACACTCGCTAGCGCGATGCACCGATATCCGTCAACGTGTCCGCATCTTCAATCGTCTCTTAATTTACGTCAACGAGTGTGTGCGGACATCTCTCTGTCGGCTGTCCCTCGGAGCCTTCGATCTCGTCCTGATTCACTGGTTGCCTTTTCCGTATCTACGGCGACTGTTATTAAATATTGGTTCAAACAGACATTAACAACGCCCGTGTATCGTATATTTCATCGGAAGAACTTCGAAGAAAATACGAGGTTGCTTCGGACAATATCCGGCTATTTTGAATATCTACAGAAGCGGTTATGGCATCGAGATTTAATATGGTAACCCAATCAAAGACTATTGAGCTGTTACGTGACATCTGTCCTTCTTTACGACAGCGAATGTTGGACGATTTCCTTAAAGATGAAGGAGAGACCAGAGGCGACAGAGATCTGGTTCTACAGAAGGATGCTAAGGATATAATGGGCCGAGCGTGTGAACAACGATGAGGTCTTAGAGAGGTTGCAAACAAGGAGGAGGCTTATACTTAATATCAGGAAGAGGCAGCTGAAGCACATAGGGAGGAAGAAGGGCTTGGAGAATTTGATACTCACGGGTCGAATAGAGGGAAAGAGAGAAGGGAAAACAACGCGTGATATACCTGACAGCCTTAAACAAGTGGATGGCAGAACGTGGTCTGGGGGGTGGCAGAGGGAAGGAATTTGTTGAGAGTTACAAGGGATAGAGAGAGGTGGAGAGAAAAGACAAGACACATAAAAAGAAAGAAAAAAATCCAATCAAAAGTGATGTTATTGCATGTGCATGAAAAGAAACTTACTCAGCGGTCAGTAAAACACCGTCTTTTTTTGCGAGAGAATTGGTCAACGTAATCTCATGCAAAGTAGTTTTGGTAAAATCTCAAGTCACTCAGGTCTTCCACCACTTCTCACAAGACGAACAGGAACTACGTCGCAAGAGAACATCACAATCAGAAAGAGACAGCTGTAAATTTTAAAGAATTTGGAAAGAAGAATGATTCTTTGGAAAGAAGAAATGCAGTGATTGTCATTTTGCTATAAAAATCTATTGTTGTCCTTTTTATTATAAAAATCTAATGTTGATTTTTGATTGACAAGGGACACTATTTGCCCATAGCTAGGACCCAAACAGGTGCTACCACACCAACAGGAGAGGAATGAAATAAAATAATTTATCCAAACAGTGGCACACATATACAATATATATATATATATATATATATATATATATATATATATATATATATATATATTATAAATTAATTGATTTAAAATATGGTTATTTTCACACAGTTCCAACCATGTTTCAAAAATAGAAGCTAAAAACCCATAATTTAATTTTGCAATTAAATTAAAAGCATTAGTTCCATTTCATCTTCAAGCGAATTTTGGAGTAACTTTTAAAATTACCGGGTTTTCTATAAGAACACCGGATTTTATATCTTACTGTTCTTTTCTTTTTATATATATATATATATATATATATATATATATATATATATATGTGTGTGTGTGTGTGTGTGTGTGTGTGAAAAGTGTGTGTGTATATATATATATATATAATTATTTATATATTATATACGCGGTACTTATTAGAAAGCGCTCAATATCAGAGATAGAGCTAACATATTAGGTTGGTGCAAAAATAATGACGTAATAATGTCGTTTTTTGACGTTAAAATACGTCAAAAACGACATTATTACGTCATTATTTTTGCACCAACCTAATATTTGGTTGGGTTCATGTGAGTTTGTGGCCCTGGTTTTCACACTTTTGCGATCGTCAGACAAACTGATTAATTTTTAAAATTTTTGGGGGTTTATGTAGATTGCGTGTATTGGTGTTATTATGGGAGTGGGGGGAATCGTCGTCGTGATGTCACTCATGCTAACGCAAACATAGATGCATGTCCGTACACCCGATGAAGTACGCAGACACACATACACACTTACTCGTCCGCCGGGACTCATACATATATAAACATATGTGGACAGTTTGAGATTTGACATATGTATGTATATGGGTGGTGTTGTGTCTA